CCCTTGCCCTCGCCCTTCTCTGGGCATCCCATCCTCCCCCCCCCGCCCCCTCCCCTTCGCGGCGCTGACTCACCCCCTGCCGGTCTTTGATCCGCTCCCTTCGGAGCAGCCACCGAAATGCCGCTCCACGACCTGATTGGGCAGATTTTCCTACTTTATGGCGTCTCGATTGGTTCCTCTCTGGTACGTCGTCGTGGGTGATGGTGGTGCCCGGGACAGTGGGGCCCGGGGGTTTTCGCCGGCCCGGCCCCCGACCTCTCGCCTTGCCCTCCCCCGCCTCTCTCTCTCTCTCTCTCGCCCCTCACCGCCCGCTACTCCTCCCGACAACCGACGCGTGGACGTGTGCCGTGTCCCCCGCCCGCGGGCTGCCGCAGGCTATTGGCTTCAGAATGCGCCGGACGCTGATCTTGTACCGCGAGCGCCGGCGTCACGACGCGGAGGCGGTCGAGTGTATCCACTCGGGCCAGGTGCTGCCGGTGCCCAAGCACGCCGTTTGCAAGTTCTGCAAGACCCACGGTGTCTTCTGGAAACCGTCGGTGACATGTCACCGGCCGTCGCACATCCGCGTGCCCCCGGTCATGGCCTGCATTGGCCACCTGACTCAAGAGCACCGGGCCCTGATGGTCATGCTCCTTGCCCCGATGTCCTAGGCCCCGGGGAGTGGCCCGGCCGTGTCCGGCCGGCCGCCTTGCTGAAAGCCCGCCGGTCGTGCATTCGTGCATCTCGCCAGGGCGGGGCCTGTCCGGATGCGTGCCTTGTGCAAATACACACGAACACACACAGCGAGCAGGAAAAAAAAAAAAAAAAAGCAACGAGACCCCCCCTGCGCGGCCGGGGAGATTGCCCCTGCGTCCCCGCGCGGCGGGCGCAAAAAGACCGGGGAAATCCGGGAATCGAACCCGGGACCTCTCGCACCCTAAGCGAGAATCATACCACTAGACTAATTTCCCCTGCTTGTGGGGAGGAGCTCGCTCTGGGCCTTTTGTCCGTGACCCAGGCCGGGGGCGCGCGGATGGGGGGGGAGGGGAGGCTGCGCATGCCATCCAAAGAGGCACGCCCACACGTACATATACGCACCCACACACGCACGTCCATAACCCGGCGCAGACAAAGGCACTCCCCAGCGGGCAATCCAGTCGCGCGCGCGCGCGCGCGCGCGCGGCCCAGCCCCACACAGCAGGGCACGCGCCGGCCGCCGGGGGACACGGCGCCGCCGAGAGGGCCGCAGCTCGCGCCGGTGGGGACCAGCACGGGCCCGCCGCCCGGGGTGCGGTGCGGCGCCCCGCCTCCCCGCTCACCCACGCGCCGCCCGTGTTTTTGGTGCGACGCAGGGGCTTTGGCCCGTCGCGCACAGGCCCTCCACCACACTCCCGGCCCCTGCCCTGGCCGCCGGTGGCTTGTCTCGCCTCGCGCTGGTTCCATCCCTTGCCCCCCCCCCACACCCAGAGACGCCAAAAGAGGGCGCCGCGCGTGTGGCAGAGCCCCCGACCAAAAGGGAAGACAGACAGCCCACTGTGGGGCTCGAACCCACGACCCTGGGATTAAGAGTCCCATGCTCTACCAACTGAGCTAAACAGGCTTGTCTGAAGGGCACATGCCCGGGACGGCATAAAAGGCGCGGCCATGGTGTGCCGGCGCCCCCGCGCCCGCCGCCCGGCCGCCGAAGCCCGCCCGCGTGCCATGAGAGGCCACCCGGCGCGCCGGCGGGCGGCCCGGCATCGGGCATCATCGGCGCCCGCGGCATTGTGAGACCGGCTCGGAGAGCATGCGCTGGCAGATGGACACGCGCCGGCTCCCGGCGGGGGATCTACAAAAGCAGACTGTGCCCTCTTTTGTCGGGCGGGGGTGGCGCGCCCGGAAATGGGGGCCGGCCGATGCGGCCCGCCGTGACGCCATGGCGGCGCTCTGCCGGCGATGGCCGCCCCCCTCCGACCCAGGCCAGCAGGCCTGGGGGGATTTCTTTTTCCTCCCACGGCCGCTGGCGCTCTCGCCGGCTCCCGGCGCGCTTGTCCCCCGGGGGCTGGCGGCCGATGCGGCTGGCCGCACCAGCCAGCCCGAAGGGTGTGCGTGCGTGCGTGTGTGTGGCCTCCCTCGGTGCCCCTGTTGCGGGCCGGGGGGGGGGGGACTCCGACCCGGCCACGGTACGGCTGGGGCCCGGGCGCGCGGCCGCCCCGGCCCGGCCCGGAGGACACAAAGGTGGCCAGTCTCCGAGGCTGCCCGCACTTCGGGCCTGGCCGCCCATGCGCCAGTCGCGGCGCCCAGGCAGGAGCACGCCGGCCGGCCACTCGCCGAGCCCCGGGCCTGCCGGCCGGAGCGGACGCTGTGCCGCACGCCGGGCCGGGCCGCGCTCCAGGTGCCCGGGACCTGCTCCTCCCCCTGCCGGAAGGCGTGCTAGCCGCTCGCCGGGGCTGGCACCGGCGCCGCCGGGCCCGGCCACCGGGGGCCTACACGCCCCGGGAAGATGCCGTGTCTTGGCCGCGCGGCCGGTGCCCCCCAGCCCCCGAGGGCCGCCTGTTGTGCGTTGGCGGGGGGTCGCGCCTCTTGCCGCGGGCCGGATCGGGGCCCCTGGCAGCCGGCCAGACGCGCGGCACACGGCCGGCCAGGCCGGGCCCGCAAGTCGCCCCCTGCCGGCCCAGCAGCCACGGCCCTGTCGCCGGCCGGCCGGCCGGCCTGCGGGGCGCCCATGCACAGAGGGCCCTCCCCCAGGCACCTTGCCCCCCCCTGCCACAAATCATCCCCCCCCCCCCGCCGCCGCGCCGCACCGCCTGCCCCAGACCACGGCAGGCGCAGGGCGTGAGTGCCACGCCCGGGTGACTGGGCCTCGCACATGGCCCGGCCCGATGGCGGGGGACCCCGTGCGCGAGCGCACCCCCGGATGCCGGGTGACGAGCAGCTGGTGGGTTTATTCGCCCCCCCCCCCCCCCCGCCCTACGGCTCGCCGGGCAGCATGACCGCCAGGCTGGCCACCGAGTGGCGGAGGGTGGCGGCCGGCGGCCGGGCGAGGGCATCATCGGCCCACAGCCGGGGCAGGATGTCGGCCAGCTGCTGGGCGAGGGCCTCGCTGGCCCGGGCCACCGGGGCCAGGGCCAGGTGGAGCTCCGGCCGGCGGCCGGCGGCCAGGTGCTCGGCGATCTGCTCGAAGGAGCAGCCCTGCCAGGGCACCGCGCGGGCCAGGCACTCCCACAGCATGACGGCCGCGGCGTAGATGTCGGCCGGGAAGTAGAGCGCCGCGTCGAGCGGGCGCCGCCGGTGGAAGGCCCGGACCACCTCGGGCGCGGCGTAGCGCGCGCTCAGGACATTGAGCTCCGGCGCCGCGTGGACCAGGGCACTGGCCCGGTCGGAGCGGAGGCTGCGGCTGGTGCCGAGGTCGCCGATGGCCGCGCGCCAGCCCCCGCCCGGGCGCCGGCTGACAAAGACGTTGGCCGTCTTGAGGTCGCAGTGGGCCACCCCCTGCGCGTGCATGGCCTCCAGGCCGGTGGCCCACTGCTGGGCCAGGTCGGCCAGCTGGCCGACCCCCAGCCGGGCGTCCGACTGCAGCAGCCCCGCCAGGTCCCCCTCGAAGAGCTCCATCAGGATGCCCGGCGGGGCGTCGGAGTAGCCGTACAGCCGCACGATGTTGGCCTGGTCGCGGAGGAGCCTACGGCCGGGCGTGGTGGTGGTGGTGGTGGTGGTGGTGGTGGTGGTGGTGGTGGTGGTGGTGG